CATCATAAAAGTCATAGTGGAAAGAACAAAATTTCTCAAAAGTAGACAGAGACTGGATTAAACTATTATACAATAGGTACAACGATTGAAAGAAACGTTGAGATATTGTGAGTTTGAAAGAATGAGCTTGGAACAGGTGTCTATTGAAGATGAGCTAATTGTGTTAAGACTGATTGAAGGGATGTTTGGCATACAAGTGTAAAATTCTAGAGCGGCTTCAAGATCATAATATAAATCTTGAAGCACATGTGGAGTTCTTACAACAATTGGAATTGATTCAAAAATTTAATGTCTCTGAAGGCAGCATGGAGACTTACAGTGCTACTAAAAGCTTACTTACGTGCAGATATTGCAATAAGGAACAGAAAAAGAGCAAAAATAAGTGTCTAGCCTTTGGCAAATGGTGTTTTAAGTGTAAAAAAGAGGAATCATTTCCAGATGGTAGGCACATATGCAAAGTGAGTGGAAAAAGTGGAAAATATAAGTCCTCCAATTGAAAGTACAGAAATATTTTAGATAAAATTAGGAAAATGAAGTTGAACAGAGTAACTTTATTCATGCAGGTGGATACTGGAAGTGATATTACATTGATACTGAAGAATTTTGGGGAAAGAATGGGTAGATCAAAGTTAAAGAAAAATAATCTCCAGTTGAAAGAGTTTGATGGGTCAGTCATCAAAATTTTCCTATGCTTTGAAGGCATGTTTGAGACAAAAAAATAGATTCAAGATAATACCCATCATATTGGTGGAAAACATTTAGTAATTCTTTTAGGAATTGACATGTTAATAGTGGATACATCAAAGCTGGTAAATTCCACAAAGTCTGTAGAATCAGATATTGGATTATTAAGGGGTTACAAAGTGAGTATTTGGCTTAAAGAAAGCAGTCAACCCATGTATTTTCAAGCCAGAAAAGTTCCTTTTCACATGCTACCCTTAGTGGTTGCAAAACTGAACAAAATAGTGGAACAAGCCTTCAGGGAGGTAGCATTTGGGCTTCACTCATTGTGGTGATATGCAAGCCCAATGGAGATTTAAGAATTTGTGGCAATTATGAGATGGGCATGAATAAATTCCAATGGCATTTAACAAGAACAATTAAGCAACCTTTTTGATTACCAAAAGACAAAATATATTTTATGTATTTTTAAAAAAATGATTGAGATTTGGTATTTAACATTAGTAACTCCCTACTCATCAATTTTATTATTTATATAGAGAAAAATGGAAAAAAAATTCTGCTGGACTGTTTTGATATCATGTATTTCTAGTAGATATTTACTGACTAAAAATGTGAGTTTAATTATGAAAAAATTTTGTACCTTGGATATCAAATAACCAAAGATAGTATATCACCAGATGATAAACTCATTAGTAAGATATCAGAGGTAGCTGCACCTGGAAATAAAAAAAAAGTTAGTCCTTTTTAGGATTAATCAATTTCTATAACAGATATCTACCACAATATAGTGACCTTGTGGAGCCATTTAATGAAATAAGGAATACTAAGTTTCAATGGATAAAAAGACAGATCACTTTTGAGAAATTAAAAAAGTCACTCATAAACAAACCAGTTCTTAAAATCTTCAATCCAGTGAAAGAATTGACATTAACTGTGGATGCCAGTGACTGTGCTATAGGTGCAATATTGTTGCAGGAGGATCACCCTGTAATATACTTATCTAGAAAACTAACATTGGTGGAGGTGAATTATTCAAATATTAGAAGGAAGCATTGGCGATTATGTGGAGCACGGAAAGAGCTAGAAATTTTTTTTGCTGGGAAGGAAATTTTTATTAAAATCTGATCATAAGCCTTTGGAATTTATATTCAACCTCAGAAGAGAGTTGCCAAAGGTAACCTCTCCCAGAATATTAAGATGGGGGGTGATTAAGCTTATGGTGTTCAACTTTGACATTGTATATATTAAAGGAAATGCTATTCTGCATGTGGATGCATTATATCGGTTAAATTTTGAGAGTAAAACTGTTGAAGCAAGTGAAAATTGTGAGGATAGGATTTTGCACTGGATATAAATGGACATATTAATCTTGGTTGGGAACTAGGCAGGATCCAGTGTTGAATAGAATTATGGATAGAATAAAGAGAAATACATGGAGTAATTGCTCTATGGCTAAGAGGCCTTATAAAGTCTCAAGACACAAATTAACAATAGGAAAAGGAATTATATATAATGGAGATATAGTACCTCCACAGTCTCTGAGAAAAGAAGTAATTAAAGCCATGCACACTGATATACATGGAGGTATATTGGTTACACAAATAAGGTTAAAGTTGTGGAAGGAAGCAGAACAGATGACTCAAGAAAGGATGAATGAATCTAGTATTGAGAGTGATTAGGAAGACCACCAGAGATATGAAAGTGAAGAATGGGAAAGGGAGGAGAGAATGAGTGTATCCAGTAGTAATAACAAACAATCTGTGGATGAGAGTGACTGGAGGTATCATGATGATTTAAATAAGGAGAATCAGTTAAGTCCTAGACCTCCTATAAAAAAAAAAAAAAAAATAGACTCCCTCTAAGAGATTGATTATATCTTCCAGGGTTGTTCATAGAAGTCAAAGATCAACTAAAGGTATAAAGCCTCTAAGGTTCAGGAAAGTGTAGTGCTATGTAAATTAGGTACTGTATAAAAGACAGTATTGCCATCCCTGTCAGAAAGTATCATAACAATGTACTTTGCATTTTATTTTATTTACAACACTGGTGCATCCTGCCATCATCAGTACATCAATATCTGGTCTTCAAAAGATCTGTGATAATGTTCTTTTTAATTAATAACATGCAATTTTTGCTTAAAATTAGCTTTCTCACTAGAGTAAATCTCCAAAAGTTGAGTCTGAAAAGTTTGCTCATGTGTTTCTAGTTGAAATCTATATCCCACAAATTCCAGAAAGCAAAGTTTTTCAACATTTTATTCTTAAATTTTCTTTGCTTAAAAATTGACATTATGAACACATCATAGGAAACTTGAAGCAGAGAAATTTTGCAGAGTTCCTTTCAAAGTTTTTTTTTTTAAAGTCTTAGCTGCAAAGTCAATTTTCAGTGTTAATGCCCTGCTGGTTTCCGTTGTGTTGCCTGGATACATGTGCTGTCTTATGAAAGTAAACAAGCAAATTGTAATTTCTGTCTTTTTTTCTTTCTAATGAACCATATTTGGAGTTTGAAAATAATGATTGTTGACGTCATCATTCAATTGAATTAGACACTCAGTTATGTCTCTTTAACTAATCTACTGCTCAGTTCCTATTTCTATTTATCTTTCATACATAAGTCTGTGTATGTCTGTAAGTATATATATATATATATATATATATATATATATATATATATATTCAAAATAGCTGTTAACTTAAAGGAATTTGCATTTGATCTCAGTAGGCAGACTTTGCTAATGGAATGAATTATAGAAAAAATATGATTAAAAAGAATAGAAGTGGGGGAAGCTTCATCTTTTAGATTTTGAATATACCTTTGATTAGGGAAGCTGAAATTGTTGTGGTGACAGTTAATTGCTTTTCACATAGAAAGTGGATGAGTGTGTAGGAAAGGAAACTAAAAAATATTATCTTATTGGATTTCTGATTAGGATATTAAAGTTCATCCTTTTCATGTTTTCATTTCGACTTTTTAAAGTTTGTGGAACTTTTTTTCTCTCTTTCAAATTTAAAAAAATAACATGAAATAAAGAGTGATAGCTTACTTGAAGATCTTGTTCAAAATTTGGGCTTTGTTGGAGTTTTCTATCTTAGCATATTTTAAGTGAATTTGCTTGTCAAGATTTCTTTTTTGCTGTTTTTGGCAAGATTATGCTTGTCTTTGTGTACTTGGTTGTAATATTCATTAATATTGCTGTTGATTTTGGCTTTTTAAAAATGAATAATTATTAGAAGGAATCATAATTTAAAAATTTAGTTTCATCCAGTTGATTTTATATTCACTAGCTATGATTATTAAACATGAATATATACATTTCAAAATCATCTTCACAATTTTTTTTTATTTTTTTAGGAAATTTATAGACAAAAATAAACATTAGTGATAATATTTTCTCTAAATAAAAAATGTGGCAAATAATTCATAATGGTAGCAGTAAATAAAAAGAAAAAAATTTATACATTTTGTTGAACAGAGATAGGATATTTGATAAACCCATAGATCTGTGATAATTTGGGAATTATAATTTTTAAATTTCTAAGAGATATTTTTTGGTATAATATGGACATTTAAGATTTAGCTATTAAAACACAAGGACATTATTAACTTGGTTTGAAATTATTTCTTAAGTGGGTGTTTGTGTGGTTATAGGCTACACTAACTCAACACATGGACTTCTTTTTCATTTCTGAAGTAAATGCTGAAGCACACAGAACAATTTGAGGTGAATGAATGAAAATTATATACAAGAAGAAAAAATCAACTTTTCTGAAGTATTATAAATTGCAGAACTGCATTTGTCATCTATCCTTCAACACATAATTGTTTGATATTAAATTATAGTTGGTTACCTCTTCTTCTCAGATTGAAACTTATACTTTTCCATCACTTATCAGTAAAATAAGTAAACCTTAAATCTAAAATGAAAATATGTTATGATGTTTTATTAAACAGTCTTTATTGAAAAGTATCAATGAAGTCCTTTCAACTCTACTTTTGTTGTTAAATTGTCTTGATAACCTAGGCTCTCTTTTCTTTATCATTCTCTCATTTGAAACATTTTTTTTATTTTCTTTGTCTCTCGACCATTCAGCTCATCAGTTTTTCTTTCAAAATTAAATCTTAACTTAGTCTTTGAAGCATTTTATGTGTTTTATGCAAAGTAAATTATATCAAAATAATGTTTAAAAACATCTGAAGCCATTATCATTTTCTGATGCAATAAGTTTTTTGTTTGCACTGTGTTATCTTCGGAGAGCAGGTTTGTACCCTTTCTGTAGTACCATCTGTGTTAATCCTTTTTATCTGTTTCACTCCAGCTATGCAATCACCCCGTCATAGCAATAGTGGTGTACTGCCCGACCTGTTGCCGCCACATACACCCCCACAGTCAAGATCACCACCAATGCCACAAAGACCTCAAGACAAAAGTACTTCTGAAGAGGTAAAATCATTTACACTTTTTGAAACTTTAAAAAAAATCATTGATTAAAGAAGTAAATGTTAGTTAATTTTATATAGCACCTTTTATAAATATATAAAAAATTTTAACATTTTATGATAATATTTTAATGGAAATAAATATTAGTTATTGCATACTGTTCACTAAGTAAAATTTTGAAATTGTCAGCACATAATACATTTTTTAAACTAAAGTAAATTTCAATACACTTTAAAATTTCATATATGTAGATTACCTTCTGAATTTGTGTATTTTGTTGTTGAAAAGCCTATTACACAATTATCTGGAAATTAGAATTTTAGATGTTAGTCTAAACAAACTGAAATTGTACTACTTTCACACAGTATTTTAATCGAGAAGAGGCAGATAAAATGTTTAAAATTTTCAAGGATCAGGTTATAGAACCTACCATTGTTCATTTTATCCCTTCATATATATATATATATATATATATATATATATATATATTTTTAGATTTTTATGATGGCAAAACTGTGGCCTCAAGAGACACTTACATTTTTAAATTTTTGCCATCATTTTTTTTATTTTTAATTAATACTGCTTATTCAGTAAAGTAATATAAAGAAAAGCAAGGTAAATACACTTATTTAATGTGATTAACAATATATATCAAATGTGATTCAAAATTTGAATATAAGGATATGTTTTTCTTGGTTGAATTATTTTATCTGGATTTTTTTTTATCAAGCAAATTCATTGTTTCATTAGACATTTAAGTCAACAGTTCTGCTTCTTATGTTTAAGTGGTTGAAATAAAAGATTATACTATTTTGCTATTCTCTTTCTTACTACTCTTTATTCCTTCTAATTAGTGCACGAATGACTTGTCTTTGTCTATCCATTCACATAAAGGTTTCCTGCATTGGCATGCAATGACTTAAAGTTTTAGTTAAAGAGACACCCATCTGTCGCACACTAATGTGATTATGATAATGCACTCAAAGACTAGTCAAAGTTGCATGAGAATTACAACGTTTTCCATGCACTTTGAGTAATTTTCCTGCACTTAAACCATTGATAGCAGCTTTCAAATTTATTTGCCAACCTCTACCCTACCCCCATCTTCTGAAGAGAACACAAATGTTTCAGTGCCTTAACGTCCATACGATTGTTACCAAATTGGTTTTGTTCCAATACAAGCAAGTATTGATAACTTTCCTTTCAGATACACAAAACCACATGTGAATGTTGAGTGCTTGTCTTTGTATTGCAACTTGTGCATTAATGGACACTGACAGATGACAGCTTCCTGTAGCTCTGCCCTCTAGTTCACAGACCACAGTGCCATGCCTTGTATGTGTTGCCAGTGCCATGCCCTTTCTCTCTACACACTCCAAGCAGGCAGTCAGGCAAACAGGCAGCTGGCCAATATTCCACACACCTACATACCTAACTGCCAACAACTGTGGCCATCCTCTAAGGTTCAACCTCTCATTGATGTTTATTCTTCTTTGGGATCTGTCTAATGTTTCCTAAAAGTGAAGCAGTCACTTTTAACTTGGTTTACTAAATCTAATAATACTGTCACAAAATGGCCAAATCAAATCAGTATATTGTTTGAGGGTTCATTGGTGTCTGCCTGTAAATAATGCTGCATTCTGCTTGTCAAGGGAGAAATATCATTGGATTAAAAGAAAAATCAAATTTCTTGATTTGATTGAAAAGATCAAATTTGCTTTGGCTTTTTCTTTCACCTTTAAAGACTAAAGACCAAAAGCAAAAGACACTCAATGTGATTACTGTTACTGGCATGACTGAATGCACTAGCAGCAGTATACAATGTGTAATTTGCAACTGTAATTCAATTTTCTACTGGGAAAATCAATTTGAATTGTTAATCTCTTGAAAGTGATTTTAATCATTTTTGATTGCACTGATTATAAATGCAGCAGTATGTACAAATTTGATTTTAAAGATTACCAAATCTGTCAGTCAGACTAAATTTCTACTGATTTTCTCCTATCCCAAATCCTTGTAGTGATCCATATAAATTTGATTTCTGTAAAACTAAGCAGGCTGCTTTCTGTCACTTTCATTTGGCACGTTAAGTGTTATATGCCATGTAAGCCCTGATTTGCATATTTAAAATTTGCTATTGGCCTTTTATATCAGATTAAAGTTAAGGCTCATTTGCAGTCTCCATAATGTGCAACAGATTAACTTAATGTGGAATAGGACAAAATTGATTCTGCTAAAAATTAATTTATCCATAATAAGATAATCCCTACTTCATACTGAATGATTTTAATAGCTCTTCTGCATATTTTTTTTTTTTGTTTTTCTTTTTATTAAATTTGTGGGATTATATTCTATGATAGTAACATGTCCACATTATTGGAAATAACCTTTTTTAATAATATTTAAATTTTTTAAAAATGCAAAAGAGAGTATTTCACATAGTTAAATTATTAAGTATAGAAATCACTAAAATTTGATTAAAGATAGCATTTCTAAATGTAAAGATATTGCTTTGTGTACAGAATAAAATTTTTGTATAAGGTAAAACCATTGTTTTTTAGGAAGACTTAGGTAAAGTTTTAGCCATTGACTCAGTTGCCACTCTGTCAGTCAATACATTAAAATCTCATCTTCCTCAAACATCATAAAATACTAATTTTCTTTAGGAAGAGCATATCTTGTCAGAATAATGTCTATGGCAAAAATAGCTGATAAATCTGATTTTGATATGGTTATTTTCTATTTGCTGAAACTGAAGTCAATTGCCCAGTTTGATAGATACAGACTGGTTCATTCAACTATTTAACTTTCCAGACATGTTTTAGATTACTGTAATATATTTGAAGAATGAAATAAGTTTGAAATAGGTTTCCTTTAGAACCCCCACCCCTTGTCTCTTCCTCATGTCAGGGTTTTCATTTTCAGAATGAAATCTCTTATATGTTCTTATGTAGTATTTTCATTCATTCTTTTTCTTTTTGTCCTCTTTCCCTCTGACCCTTTTATTTTAGTATCGTCAGGCAGTGGGCAAACAGGCACCAATGCATCAGAAATCTTTCACTGCATTTGGGTTTGGGGCAGGCTCCACCATTGGTTCCATGACACCATCACGCAGAGGTTCTCAGATCAATGTCAATGTGACTCCTTCACAGACTATGGAAGGTGTTAGTGAAACACCTGAGATCCGCAAATATAAGAAACGCTTTAGCTCAGACATTCTTTGCGCTGCCTTGTGGGGTGAGTACTTACATTTTTATCACTTTTATTGTTGTAGGTTGTATTCTTTTTCAGTCTTTTCAATGAGCCTGCATTGTTGCCATTTTAAGTTTTTAAGTTTCATTTAAGTTTCTACCTGTGGCTTTAAAGATATTCTTGCTATTCCCAAAGCTGCAAAAAGGCATTGTCATTTTTAATACTTTTGGCATATTTTGTGTTATTTTTCATTAACCCAATGATTTTTTTTCTGCTTGATTAATATTATTGTTACTGTTAACCTCTACTTAGAGCATTGTGATTCCATTACACCAATAAGATTTCAAGATTAATGACATTTAGGTATTACCTCATCTATTATTTTCTTTTACTCATATTTTCTGTTTTTTGTTACAATCTACAGTTATCAATTTATGTCTACTTTGGATTTAAAGATTTTTACATTATAAATTGTCTCATTTTCACAAACTTAATATGTTATTTGGTTGTAGAAGGTCATAAAACTCTCTTATATTTCTCTACTTGAACTATTCCAATTACCAAATATATGATACTTAGGTAGCATTAATGCAAAAGAGTATATCAAATTCCAGCTATAGCACATTTGTATCAATTACTATGGAGTAAACTGCAAATTCATTGATTCTAGTGTTGTAAGAGTGTAGTCTCAACATGTCTGGTTATTAAATTTTAGGTTATTTATTTTGAAATCTTACTAATAATTTTACAGCCCATTTATCTTCAGGCTATAATCTTAAGTCACAAATACAATTCACTTGATATGGTCAGATAAATTGAACTTGTCAATGATTACTTGATCTTTGGTCTATGTGAGATGGACAGCAAAAAATAAGCATTCTCAAATTTAATTGCAAATATACTAAGTTTGACCTTTCAGGTGTAATTCTTTTACTTTCCACTTAAGCTATTAATATATATATATATATATATATATATATATATATATATATATATATATATAGGAAATTAAAGAGATTTTTTATATTGATTCTTGAAACAGCATAAGTTTTACTTATTGATAGTAGTAGACAATTTTGTAAGTATAACTTTCTAACTTGTAGTCTCATAAAATGCCAACTTCAAAATCAAGGTAATGATCTTAAGGATACCATCTATTCAACATTTATAAATAACAAGCCAATACTATAATATAGTAAATTTTAATGACCTCTTTTTAAGTGAGATGAACATGATTAAGGTGTAAATATCATTAAAAGTATTTATCAAATATTTTATTTTAGTCTGTTGTCCTTGTCTTCAGTGGGGATGTCCTTTTATGAAATATCAGTTGCATGGGTGTCTTGCAACATTTTATCTTTGATTGTTTTTTTTCCTCATGTTAATTTTTTTTTTTTTTTTTTTTTTTAAAGTGATACATTATATTTTAGTACTCAAGCCAGATCAACTGTGAAATATTGTCCCTGCATAAAAGGTGGTTGCCACATTTCAATCAATGAACTGCACCCAAAACATACTCAAATGAATCAATATCTTGTCTCCTACACATTCTATTTACATACTGCAGTGCAGTCTCATCCCTATCTTACTACTATTACTCATAACACCAATAGTAATCACCACCTCCCCAACCTTTTAACTGGCATTCCTCTTTCTTTTTTCTTTTTTTTTTTTTTTTACAGTAGATTTCCTTCTCCATATTCTGTCAGTGTTATGGTGATAAATTGCCCCCTCCTTTAAATAATATTTTGATCTTTGGTCTTACTGTAGAGTGTCAATGTGAAATGGTTTCCACAGAGTTATAGTCACCATCAAGGTAACCACCAACTGATACTTACAATTTTATATCTGCTATTAGGTTGAGGGAGAAATCCTTAGCAAAATATTTTATTTATATAAATTCATAGCCTCATTATTCAATCATCATTCTTTGTTGTTTTCCATGATCTTATGTCACTATTTAGGTAAATTCCATCCTAAAAAAAAAAAGAAAAACTTAATCTGATTTTGATTCAATGAATTATTTGAAGAATTTTTAAACTGCTGTGTTAGCATGGAGTGAAAAACTTCTTCCCATTTCAGCTCCATGACTATTTGCTGCTTCAACCTAAAGACAGCTTTTTTTCATGCCAAAAAAGTAACCAGTCAAATTCTTTTTCTAAAATAATATATTTTCTGTTCCAGTGCATCAAAGAAAGCCACTTGTTCACTGTAGCCATGCACAATAACAATTTGTATTGGTTCCCACAATTTGTAATAAAGAATTCCTTTTGAATCCCATAAAACACAGAGAATTCCATACTACCCTACCCTTTCCAGTAACTTCCATTTAGCTTAAGATGTTGAAGTCTGTCCTGGCTCTAGCTATGTTTTTCTTCATTTTGGATACTAATAATAAATTCATTTTTCATAAAAAGTGTCCAAATATGGCAGTTTTTCTGTATTGAGTAAAAATAGATGGGCAAGTGTTTAAACAATGATCAATGTTCCTTTCCATAAATTCATGGGGAACTTATTTTTCTAGCTTCTGCATTATTCCTGAGGTTTGTAGATGGCATATTATAGTTAACTGATTGTACAAATAAGAAAGAGTTATGGATACTTTGAAGATACTACCAAAACCTCTCAAATATATAGAAGATGGCACAAGGAAATTTTGCATGCCTATTACATGGTTTGCCATATGCACTAAACCTTTAATGTACTTAAAGTACTGAACTTTCTCCATATTTACCCAAATTTACACTTTTTATTTAGTCTGTTTTTCTTTTTGTTTTAACCATTGAAGTAATATTTTTATTGTAACATGAATTTGTCATTTTTAACTAATTTTGACTTAAGAGAATCACTTTTTTTTTCTAAACTAGTAGTAAAAACAAAAAATTTATTATTTTAACTTAAGATTTTTTTTCTTTTTTAAATGTCTCCAGTGAATTAATGCTTCTGGAAGAGAATAATAATAATAAATAATAAAGTGAAATCATTTTTACTATTGATACTTTATATAGTTTTTGAATTGTTATAAGAATTTTTAGTAGTGATGCAGAAATGATGTTGGTCATGATTGCCTTCTGATTAGTTTTTTCTCTTCAGAGTTAGTGCTGTTTATTATATGCAATAACAGGATTTGGCAAATGTTAGCAATGCACAGGGATGTGAGAATAACAGTTATTGTGAATTTCCAATACATCTTTATAATCACTTGTTATAACAAGCATCTCTAGATCTGATTGGTTTTCATCAATTCTTTTTTTAATAGCCTATCCTTTCTTTGATTGATCTTGGTGTCTACTATTAAGTTATCCACATTAATCTTTGTTCAGAAAGAATCCCTTTTATTTGAACTCAGTATAAACACTTGGATAATTTTATTAGTCTTCTTTACTCAAAAGAAATTCTGTTTGATTTGATGAATGTTACACACCAATTTCTATTTAGTCTGTTAGCTTTTAATGTCAGCCCTTCTGATCAATATATACAGTTTCTTTTTGCATCCACATCAATACTAATGTCTGAATGTTATGCAAGTTTTCAATTTGTTTTGTCAGCTTTCACATTTAGTTCTAAGAAACTTCTAATATTAAGATAAGCATTATATTTCAGTATAATCAAGAAGATAACTCTTAGATATAAAGAATAAAATATATATTTGTTTATGGGCTGATATTTCATCAGAAAATATCCTTTTATTTGCATTTATGTTTGCGTTTTCATATTCATTTTTACAATTACAAAAACAGGACTCAGTAGATATCTTAATTTTAGTTAAAGTTGTAAAACCTTTATTACAAATCAACTGAATGAGAAAGTAATTAGTTTAATAAATAGGGATATTTTCAAATTAAATATTTGCGTAATTGAATGTTATGAAAGCCATATTTAATTTGCAATTCATATCAAGTAAATCTGATTGTATGTTTTAAAATTGAATTCATTTTTTATTAAGACAATCTGTGTCTTTATTCTTTGAAGAATAGATATTGCTTACCAAATGGCAGTGAATTTAAAATTTTATTTTGGGTGACTGTCTCAAACTTACAATTACCATTTTCTTTGTTGCAGGTGTTAATTTATTGATAGGAACAGAAAATGGTTTGACTTTGTTGGATAGAAGTGGTCAAGGTAAAGGTAGGTAATACAATTTTGTGTGTTTTTTTTTTTGTTTGTTTTTTTTTTTACTTTCTCACTCTTTATTAATCATATCAATAATTCTGTTCTGCATAATGAATTTTATCAGTATTGGTGATATTGATTATCAGATAAACATAGAGCTCATCCTACTTCCAATTTTTTACAAACATCAATTCATATTGTTTTTTTATGCTATTGCAAAATACTCTTTGTTTCATGGAAATATTTTTATTAAACCTTCACATCTTTCTAATTTGAATGTTTATTGCTTTTGAAGTAAGCTATTTTTACCTAATTTAAAACTGGTTGCAAGAAATGCAAACAGCTCAATACACTAATGCTCATGAGATTATTAATTTTTTAAATTAATGCAAATTCAGGTTTTCAAAAGGAGTATATCTTATGGTTAGTATAGTGTAAAGTGTCAGCTAGGGGATTAATTAGAAATAGAAATGTCTGAACCATTTCTTACCTATGGCTAATTAATTGCCATAAAGTAAAAATAGGAAATAAGTTCTTTTGTTGAAGATTTTTCTCTGTTAATTAATTCTATTTTTAACTTTTCTATAAGCCAATCAAGGTTGGGTGAGGAAGAAGAAAAAAATTTTTTTTTTTTTCTTCAAAATATATTGCTCCAATGCATTAAATATTCTTTAAATAAATAATTGCTTCAAGTTTTGAATATTCAACTGATATGCATTTCTAACTAAATCTAAGGTACTCTGTAAAGATAATATTTCCCTAAGATTAGTCCTGGGTTGAACAAAAGGATAGTCTTGTTAACTCTAAAGTATTTGTTTACTAATAAACCCCAAAAAACCTCGACACTTCATGACTCATAAGCAAAAACAATAAAAATAAATATCCATAATATTAACGTATTAACTACAGATGGCAGGAATTTCTATCATTACATTTTTGTAGCTTGTCTGTGAATGACAGAAATTTCTACTACAGTTAATGGGTTATGGTTGTACACATATTTTCATAATGTTTTTTTTATAATTACTCTCCAACTTATTTTTCATTATTTTTTTTTTAACAGCATTAAATTTATTTTGTTATATTATTGCTTATATTTATGCATCTTGTCAAGATATGATTTGCTGTCCAACAGAAGCCTTTTAAGTCTTTCTGTAATTTTTACTGCATTGTTCAAAACAATCTTCAACATCTAAGCTGACAATTGACTACAACCATCATTTTTGTGTGTGTGTGTGTTTTTCTTTTCTTAATAAATGTTCACCATGCTGTTGATTATCACTGCCATAAACTTCTACTTGTTCTTTTATTCCACACTGTTTTGTGACATCAAAAGCAAAAGCTGAAGGCTATGGAAGTAGGAGATTCACATGCGCAACTTTTCTTTTGCGTACTATTTGTCATAGTATGTTTCCAAACTAAAATTTTAGGCTTACCCTCTGAATTTTGGTTTAAAGAGACTCTAAATAAAAGGAGTAGGAATGAGGTTGTAATATCATGAAATGTTTCCTTACAATATATATTATACAGGGTGTCCTTAGTCTGGACACAGACAAAAATGCATATTTTCAAAAAATGAAATTTTCAACAACATTTTATTGAATTGGAATATTAACAAATAACATCTTCAATATAATTTCCATCATTTGTGATGCAAAGGTTGATGCGCTTTGCAAGATTCACATGAACTTGATGCAATAACTCCACATTGCTGTCAATTTTAGCACATTCACTTTTTGTGTTCAATCAAGTGTTTTGCATCTGTGATTTTCATTGAGTACACCTTCTCCTTTAGCATACCTCAGAAAAAGAATTTTTTCTTTCTTTCAACAAAACCATATTTAATCTATGGAGGTAAAATATATATGTAATTAATGAGATTTCCTATGTATCTATCCTATAATTGCTATGGCTTATATCATCTGCCCAATTCTTTGCTTTGATTTTATAAAAATTTTCCCTGTTGCTTTCAAATATTAATATATATCTCCTTTTTACCTAAAGTTGTACCATAAATGTCTCTCCAAAATTTGATATGTATGATATTTGTGCAAAATGATTATGAGATAAATAAGACTGCATTTATCTTATATGTAACTCTTAATTGTATACAGACAACAAACACAAATCCATTAATAAAAAAGAAAATAGATCTACATTAGAATATCTGTGACATCTCACCAGAATAGAAGCTATAAGTAAATCCAAACTTCAGAATCTGTCACTATTGTTAACATGATTGAGATTGTCTAAGTTTTACTCAAAGCCATTAAATCTTGGAGAGGATAAAAAAAAAAATTAATTTTTGAAGTTTCTGCAAAAGATTTTCTCCTTTAGGCATGTCTGATTAAATAAATTACAAATATTGTCTGCTTATTTTTAGGATAATCCTTTCATATTCACAAATATTTTTTTGTGTTATAATCAGATGATGCAAGAAATTCACTTTAACAGTGAAAATCATATATATATATATATATATATATATATATATATATAAGAATGTGATAAAAAGTTCTCAGCTAAACCCATTTCCCCAAATCTGACCAAATACTTTTTATCCTCACTTTTTCCCAGAGTCAAGAACTCCTCAGCACCCCACTAGTGTATAAGTTGTAACTTACCTGTTTTTGTGTGTGTGTATATATATATATATATATATATATATATATATATACACACACACACATATTGTTTGAATGGGGAAGGGAGAATTAATATTCTATCCAATAGCAAGCAATAAAAGGGTAATTTTGTTTACCACAAAATCATTTCCAATTAATTTGTATAATTTTCTTGCGAAAGGAAATAATGCTTAGAACTACATAGAGAGTTATGTGTCAGAACAGGATTTAATATCTAATTTTAAGTTTTGACTCTTCATTTTTTTTTTTTCTTAACTCATTCTTGACTAATATCAATTGTTCGATCATTTTAATTATAATTAAATTTATATTTTTCAGTTTATGCATTGATATCTCGGCGTAGATTTCAACAAATGGAGGTTTTGGAAGGCCAAAATATCCTGGTCACTATCTCTGGCAAAAAAAATAAAATCCGTGTATATTATCTCTCATGGCTGAAAAGTAAAATTTTCAAAACAGAAACTGTGACTGTAAGTATGTGTTTTATTTGCTAAGACTATTCTTTAAGAACACTCCTTCCTTCTGTGTTCATACAAGTACAATCATTGTTCACATTTTACATTTGTACAAACTATTTAATTAAATTATAGCAAATATCAATTAACTTGATGTGAATGTCATTTCATTTATTGAATGCACAATTTCAAAATAATTTGGAAAACTTTTCAAAAAACTTCTCTCTCCGCACCTTTTATTTTCTTCTTCCTCAATTTTCAGTCTATTTTTGAATATCTTTTATTTTGAAAATCATTTTCTGTTCTCCAAAAGGGAAAAAAAAAATATTGATTATTTGTAGGGGAGAAAAATCAGAATAAGTAAGTATTAAAAGTAAAATTTTTAAGTGAATATTTCAAGTTATGTTGATTTTAAATTAATTACTTGGTGCAAATTAAGAAAATATTGAACTCCACTATTATGAATGATTGTGGTATTAACCATTTTATTTCACAATACAAAATAGTGTATTACATTTGCTAATATAAAAAAAAAACCCTACACTAACTTAAGGCCAATTTATAGACAAATACATTAAAAATAAGATGCAAGAGTTATGGAACTCTGTCCAAACAATAAGCTAAACTGAATCCAACTCACCATTGGAGAACATAAACTACTGAATCATGGCTATACAAGAAAAGAGAAAGTGGTTATAACCAGGCGCTACATAGGCCATACACACATAACTCACTCTTTTATGAAAAATATGAATCCACCTCTTCTTTCTCAAGCCGTGGGTTAATTAATATGACTTGTATCAGTAAAGCATTATCATCTCCAAATGATTGTGATCTGATATATTTCTGGCTTTAAATAACCTGCAAAAAGATTGATAAGCTGTAAAAAAAATTCATGTTCTTCTATGTGCTGGTGATCATAACTCTCCACAATTTCCTGTCCTTTGTAGCTCTTAGTAAATTTTGTCATCTCTCCTAAACCTTGCTCTGTCATCCATTTATTCAAGCTCAGTAGGTAGGTTATGTATTGTTTTCCTCTGTTCCTCTTGCCCTAATATGAATATCAAATTTTCTAAGCCTCCTTTTCTCATTATGAGCACTAGAAAGTTTAACTCTCTTTTTTGGTATTAAGTGTCTTTTTCATTTCCATTGTCTCTAAAACTTTGTTTCAATCCATGGCATTCTCAGCATCCTTCTGTAGAACCACATTTCTGTTGCTTCAAGTCTCTTCTTCATTTGTGAAGAGATTGTTCAGCATTCAGGAGGACTGATATCATGTAACAGTTCAGTATTTTTTTTTTTTTTTACAAAATTTGTCTGTTTCTTAATAATTTGCTTAGCTTTTGGGAGGCAACTTTTGCTATCCCATTGTGCCTTTGGATTTCAGTGTTACACTTTCAATTCTGTTAAAACACTTCCAAGATACTTAAATATTTAAATTGTACTTGTTTGATTTTGGTATTACCAATTTGTAATTTGCATGCTGGGCTGTTCCTTTTGCTGACAATCATGCATTCAGTCATCTTGCAATTGATGTTTATTCTTTTCTTAATTTCTTTTACTAATTTCTGTAGGAGTTCTTGTGGTTTCCTTTCTGTGTCTGCCATCAACAGTGTCATCTGCATATCTTAGTTGTTAAGATTGTGTTAGGTGACAGATGATGTACATGTCACTCCTTACTGGGTGAGGAGTCAATTCCAGTAGACTTAACTCTCTTCATGTCATTATCTTGCATAATTTTGATTGTTAAAATCCATAAGTTTTCTTGGGATTGATAGTGAAGTGATTTGTTGTTGGCTTCTCCATGGTGATTTATTGAGACAATACCTAGTTAACTGTCTGTTGACTCATCAATAGTTCTGCACTGATAGGTCTTATTTTTCATCCTACAGGGTTGCTAAAAACTGGCCTCACCCATAAGAAATTGGATGGCAAGTGTTAGCTTAGTCACTGACCATCTGGCAACAGCATATATAGATATTCATGCACATATATACACACACACATATATTAGTGCTAAACAATTTTTTTTTTTTTTTTTTTTTTTTTAAATTCAAAGTAATTTGACATTCTTCAGTTAATAATGGGAGAGGAATATCTTTATTCACCATTTAATTTTTGATAAGAGCCCAAAAGTTTCATAGCTGATAATCAGAAACTTGAATTAAAAAAAAAAAAATTATCTATATTTTTTTGTTAGCCACTGATGCCTATCAGTGATGGTAAGAGGGAGGCATATCTAATGAATATAATTTTTTTTTCTAAATATATCCTGTAGGTAACAAGTTACTTTCAAACAAAATCAATCCTCTATACTAAAAAATTAAAAAAAACACCAACACTGATCTGTATGATTTGTCTTGAGTTATACACTGTATTTTCGTATTTTGCTTTGATAAAGTCCACATTGAACGAAACGCATCAGCAATTACCAGTTTTCCTATTGTCATTTTTATTCATAAACACTGTATAGTATATCTTGATGAAATCTGATGATAGTCTAAGTTGAACAAAACACAATATTCAAACTCTTACAAAAAGTATATAACAAGATATGACTCCAAATACTCACATGTATGTGTATATATATATATATATATATATATATATATGTGTGTGTGTGTGTGCATAAAATCAATTTTCAAAAATGTTATAAAACTTTGTGGCATGATATAACACCCTGATGTTGAAGTGTTGTTTAAATACAAAAAAAAAAATCAAACTCTATAAACACTGTAGATTTGCTTTCTCAGGATGATTTGCAAGTTTATAATGAATTTTGTTAGAAATACCTCAGAATTGCATCTTACAAGTGAACAAAACAGGCTTATTTATACATACTGAATTTATAGCACTTGCAATGCATATTTATTTTTAGGGCTTAGTGAATTTCCTACTTAATATTCAGGGAGTTAATTCTGCGAAAGTAAACATTAGACAAATAATATTAATGATGATGAAACCATTTCATTAGCCCTTAGCATCTTGGGTTCTGAGTTTGTCAACACTTTTCTTATTTGTTCTTGTTTGACACATTTTAAGAGAATGAGTTTCTTTTTGTGGAAGGCAATTTCCAAAGTAGCATTATGAATTTTTTGCAATTTACATGTCATTGATTTTATTGATTACTTTAATGGACCAAGATTTCTCCTTTTTTCCTTTCGACCTGTTTGCTTAAATTGAACTAAATGATTTATTTTTTCATTTTTCCCTTTTAAGTTTTATGACCTGCAAAATTGATTTTTATTATTGTTTAATTTTAATATATTTTTTTATTTCTTCAGAGTGATAAGAAGAATGGTTGGGTAAATGTAGGAAATTTAGAAGGCTGTGTCCATTTCAAGATTGGTAAGTTGAAGTGACTATTATGTGTGCATGTGTATGCAAGAGAGATTTTCTTTTTATACTTTATTAGTGTAACTAAAATAATTAATATGATCAATAACTTTAAAGAAAGAATGAAACAAAAATGTTCCATACTTTGATGTAAACTAACTTAAATTGCATTCTGTGGTTAATGGTAGTCATCATTTCTTTGTAAGCTTTTTAAAGCTTTAATATAACAATCAACCTATACTTATATTTTCCTATACATGTGTTGAAGCTTGAATAAGCATGGAATAATAATAATACAACACAAAATGTACGTAACAAAATGTATTGAAACAATGAAAAAAGGTACACAATATTTACAGGTAGTTTTGGTATATTCTTGGGAAGACTGTTCCTGCAGAATGGGTTGACTAAGTCGCAGTCGGGCAGAGTCTCTGGATTCGATCTCTTAATCTTCCGTCGTCTTCCGGTACCAACCCATATTTATATGGTCGGTACTCCACTTATGTAAATTAGGTGTATCATACACAACAACATGGAAACCTTATGAAAATCAATATGTTTATGAAGAAAGAGTAATACTACAATTTTGTTAGACCCAAAGTCTCTGCTTTTGCGTCTCCTATTTTCAAAACTGACTCTTCAGTTGGTGCATGAGTGTCTGAAAGTTTTAAATTGTCTTTCAAATATGTGAACAGTTCAACAATGTTTAATTAGCTTTTCTGTTGTGTAACAATCATTCTCTTGGGTTTTAATTGATTTCCATTACTTCATAATTAAACTCTGATTTTTAAATTTATATAACAATAACAGAAAAATGATTGTTCCACTAGTTCCATAAGTAATATACAATTTCAGTCCAGAGATGTAAAATTGTTTTCTATTTTAAATATTAGCAATACAGTAAATATATATTGTCATTTAATGTTTAATTAAAATGTTTTGATAAACTATTTTAAAACCTTCCATTATGTTCTAGTTCATAGTATTATAACATGAAGTATTAATGGATATTTTAAACTGTTATTCTACATATAATCCTTCTACTTTTCATACAAATCTTAAGATATGAATAATAGAATCTTACTAACAAAGTAAATATGTCTATATTTTCTGTCATAAAAGATTTATGCACAATGTTTTAATGTAATCATCAAAGAATGAAACTGAAAAATTAAAATAATGGATAAAACATTTTATTTGATAATGATCATATTTGAAAGTTAAATTACTTTACTAAAAAAATAGACTGCTTCCATTAAGCAACATGTTAAAAAATACAATCTCTCAACTGAAAACTTTAATTCAAAGATGCAAAAGGAAAAAAATCTCTTTGTGTATGATTAATTTCCCTGAGAGTACAGTTGTGAATCAATGACTAAAAAGAAAACAGGGAGAAATCACAGAAAATTTCTTGGAATTGGGCCCATGGAAGGGGATGATGATATAGTACAATCCTTCTCCCTTGCCTTACCCATAGTCTTGTTATTGCTTTGGTGCCATTGTTTATCTATTCCTGACAGAACACAGCAATTACCAACTGTTTGACTGCACACAAGCAACATGCACAATTGATTCTCTTTGTCTATGAGGCTTTTTTTTTCTCTTTTATAATCAGATTTATGAGTTCAAGCACACATTCACTCTCTCCTTTTTATTTTAATTTTTGTTTTTTTTCTTTCTCTAATTTGTAAACAAAAATGAAGACTTTTCTCTGACTAAAGCATTCCAACTCCTTTTACACTCAATATCCGACATAGAACAAAAGATTAAAAAAGATTGAAAAGAAACAAGTTGTCATTTCATGGGGCTTTATTTACTCATGGGTGAAATGTGCTGATGGAATTTGCCTTTTCCTTTTACTAAAACAATTTCATTTTTTTTTCCTTCTTTCTTTTTTAATATTGCCCCCATTGTTTGTGCATGACTAAATGCCAGTGAACTTATTGCCAAAACAAAAAAAATAATTGTACAGAGTGCTCAAATGTGTGTAGACCTGTTGTAATCCACATAATCAAGATTAGCCCATTAGTCTGAATAACCAATATGGATTTTTTAAACTAAGTTGTTATTTTTTTTTTGGTGGTGGGGGATATTGATATTAACTTTTGTTTTCTCCTTACTTCATATAGAAATAATCACCCCAACCATTCTATTGTGAATCTTTGGTCTTGTTGGCATTTGGTTCTTGTGTGTTGGTGTGCTATCCAAGCAATTTATAATTTAAATCAACCTCTAAGCAAAGATGAAAGAGTTGGTGCCAGGAAGATTATTATAAAAATGTGACTCTGAATCACAGCAGGTTTAGATTTTTACCTTTGTGAGAAAAATTAAGAAAATGGATTTATTCTCACTTAACTATTATTGCAAGAATGAAATTCTAACATGAGAACCTTATTTTCATTATAGACTTTGAATTATTTATCAATTGAACTATAATTAATTAGAATTATTGTTTGTTAGTCTGATATGAATGATTGTTTAAGCATTTCCAGTTATGTTTGCATTTTATAATACTTTTTTATTTTATATTTTATTTACTTTTTTTTTTTTCATTTATTTTAGTAAAATATGAAAGGATCAAGTTTCTTGTGATAGCACTTCAAGACAGCATTGAGATCTATGCATGGGCCCCTAAACCATACCATAAGTTTATGGCATTTAAGGTAAGTGTTTCAATGAGATACTTTTTTTTTTTACTTTCTTGTGGCCTATATTGATGGCTTTTATCTCCTCCTACCATGAAAACAAATCTGATAAAAATCACCTTGATTTATATGCCTTCATTTTTAGTAGGCAAACAACTAGTCAACTATATAGCATTTACTCATTCTTACATATTAGCTTTAAGATGAATTTTGAATTGTTATATAGTAAATTGTATTATAAAAGATCATTCACTCTTATACTGCAGTAATTTAATCAAGAAAGTAATAAGTGATATAAATGAAGCAAATCCCTCATGAAAATATTTTTTATCTGTACATATTCCAATTAGTATGTTTACAAGCTTGAATTCAAGTAGAATAAGTTTTTCTTTGTTCTCTTGTAAAATGTTTAATAACTTAGTCGATACCCACCTCTCATATACTTTACATAAACTTATTAAATTGACTAGTAGAATCTGTTTGAGCTTACTTTTATATAGATGAGGATTTTCTAACCAGAATTATAAAAACGGTTTCCTTTAAGTTTCCTCTTAAAGTTTATTACACTGGTCAAATCTTTGGTTATCATTTCTTGCAAATTGGGCCATGGGTAAATTTTATGTTTTTTGCTCTCATGAACATTAGTCCATAGAAATGGGGAAAAAAATATTAGTTACTTTTTTTTCTTTACAATTTTTTTTATTTCTCCCTTTTCAAGTATTAATCATAAGATTTTGTATAATTCATGGTGATTGAAGTGTGCTTTAAGCTACAAGATGAAATTGTTGTTTGCCAAGAAAACAATCTTAGCTCACCATTTTTTCTCCACCTTTCAAGTTACACAGGTGTATTTTGATAATTAGGCTTTGTTTTTAACCTTTTTATGCTCTTCATGAGTTAATAACAGATGTGTTTTTTCTTATTTACAAATTTGGCAACAAATTGAATAATCCCATTAGAAATATGCCAAAGGTTATTCGTGAAGGTATTTTTTTTTTTTAACTAACCTCTTCAAGAGGATGGAAGTGTTTATTAATTATAATTTGAATACTATTAGAAAATAGAAGCACACTATAGTTCAAAAGAAGTTTTCATTGAAGAATAGTTTTAACAAGTTCATATATATTTTAAAATATACACAAACTTTTTTTTTTAATAATTACACAAACTTTTTTTTTTTGATAATTTCAATGATTTTCTGTTAGAATTTAATTTTTTATCCAGTTAAGTAAATATTTTCTACATTATTCTAAAAATTCTTTTTCTGTTGATTTTTCCTAATCAATTGTAACATACATACATACATACATACATACATACATACATACATACATACATACATACATATATATATATATGTGTGTGTGATAAATGGATGATCAAAAAGCCAATCATTTTTTTTTTTTTTTTTTTTTTTTTAAATTGAGTCAGTCCTCTTCAGAGTTTGATACTTGGTGGGGTAGGGTGGTGTAGATATTTATTTTTAATATAAATCTTTAACAAAAGTGTTATATGAATTTCTGTTGGAGTTAATAAGTTAAAACCCTCAAATGAAACAAAAGGTATACATATGTTTTATGCATCATGTCCTTTCAGGTTTTGGCCAATCATGGCTCTCCACAACACTGTTTTTTGTTGCTCTAAATGACTTTTGACCCTTTACCCTACCTCTTTGCCCTGTTTTTGCCATCCATTCACTCAAATACTTCTTTCCTTATCTATTAAAAAGAAACATATCTTAAGTTCTAAATTGGTCTATCAAATTGTATACCTTGGCCAACATCTTTGCCAGTGTATAAAAGCTTTGAATAAGCCTGAAGCTAAGAGTGATTTCTAATACATACAGACTTCTATCATATATCAAATTGAAATCAATATTTAAGCACTTCCTATATCTATCCTTTTCATATCCTGGAAATAAACTAAAATGACAATTTTGACTTTTGCAATTATCCAATAGCACCACAATTCATAGAGATTCTTGAAAGACAAAATTATTTATTCTTAAAAAGTTACTAGCATGTTAAATTTAGTTACCATTTCACATTTTCTTGTATAAAAATCTTTATTCCTATTTTTCTTTTTATTCATATTTTTATATATTCTGGAATACAAAAGTAAATAATAATGATGATCTTATCCAAATTTTATACACTTTTTCAATTTAATATGAAAATGAAATGGTAATAATTGCCTAATCATTTCATAAGGTTTTGCCTTCAGGAATTGCTAGTATTTCAATCAGGATATGTAGCCACAAATTTTATTCAAACCAGTTGTTATCCACTATTAAACATTTTCAGAATTGGTGTAGAGAGAGATTTAGAATACTGGCTAGTTGAATTGATATGTCTCCTGTTATTTGAAAAAAATTGAAATTTTTCAAATACCAGAGATATACCAATTCAAAAAGTACATGGAAGGACTTCTCCCAATATTCAATGAGTTATTTATTTGAACAAAAACAGCAAATTTTGCATGGAGAATAGAAAGCATTTGACAGTGGTAGATCAAAAAATTTATTGATTAATTCTCATGATCAAGTCAATTTTTTGGCATCAATCTTTTTAAATTTTTCTGGGCCATTTTGGATTATAAAATAAGAAAAATGTCTAGAAAATTTATGAAAATTTGCTTAATATTTTGAATGCAGTCTGACTGGGTATCTCTTCTGGGAAGATAGCGTTTCTAAAAATCTGCAAATAGCAAAGCTACTAAATTTCATTATGTATAATAAGATTCTTAAATGAAAGCTCTTTGTTTATTTTTGTCATGTCCCTGTATATACACTAGAGCATTTAACCAAATTTACATGGGTACAACCAAAAATTTGTGTCATGTTCTTAAATAGCCTTGTCAGACTTTCATATGGATGCCTTGCATAACACCAAACTTGTTCCGAAATATCTAAATTGTCATCCATATACAATCACTTTCTTAGATGAATGGTTAAAAATAGTTTTAAGCAAGTAAAGCATGTAGAATAAAGCCCTCATCACTACTGGAAAGTGCAATAAAAGCTACTGGACTTGAAAAACCTTTTTTTCCTGAAAAATTGTTTTGAGAGAAAGATTTTATAAATTTCAACCAAATGCAGCACTGACTGTTTGGTCAGTGAATGGTGACTTTCTTTATAAGGAAATGTTTAATATATATTAAAAATGTATTCAGTTATTCAAAATGTAATTCATCTACTGTACCAATATGTTTGTCTAAAGACAGGGACATTACTTACTCTATATTTTTTTTATTTTTGATGTATGTGAATTATATGTTGGATAATTCTATAAGAATATTAGTCCCCACCCTCATAATCAATAAGATACTAATGTTGCTGATTGTAGTTACAAAATGAAAGCAAAATTGGCCAGCCAATAGCCTGTAATTTAAAAAAAAAAAATGAAAGCATCAGCTGTTTAGCACTTGATGTTCAAGCAAAAATCAGTTGCTAATTGGTTTAATACAGCAATTAATTTGTGAGAGATTTAGTAGATATTTGCAAAGAATCTATACTGTAGAAAACAACAGAGCTCAAAATTGTATATTATGTAGCAATAGGGGTAAATCATGCATTCTGTTGAATTGTTATTAAAAATATGACTTGTGAAAAACTTTTTTTTATACAGAGAGAGAAACAATCAAAATCGAATATTAATACTGTTAATTATATTTCTAAAGAAAAGAACAAAGTTTACTAACAATTGTTAAGTCTGAGTTTTTCCTTTATGGTTATAAATTATCATAATTTTTTAAAAGATAATTTCATTAATGAATAAGACATGAGAAAATGTTGATATATTAGCTTATCTATTGTAGAAATAATAGATTTGTTTTCATTTAGAAATTAAGTTTCCAGACACACAAATCACTGAATTTATTTGATTTTAGAGGCATATCAAGAATGATAGGTATTTCCTAATGTGGAAGGTGTCACCAACTTCATTTGTTCATGATTTAATGGGTCAACAATAACAAGTATAAAATTATAATTGCTGAGATGATATTAATAAGCAAATAGAAAAGATATTTTAAAGACTGAAAATAAATTTGTAATTTTGACTTTTTTTTTTATTAGAGATTTTAAACACCTTTCTTTTTAAAATTATTCTATTACTTCAAATAGTAAATGACATTTTTGAATACTTGAATTAAAAATATCACCTGTGCCATAGCTGCGACACTGGAATACCAATGAATACACCTTTCTCCATAACTAGTCCAACAGATATGATGAAGTGTGGTAAAATTCTCAGCCCAAACCAGTTCTCAGAATCTGAAGAAAGAATAAATTTTCTTTCTAACCCCTTCTTGGATGAGCCAAGAACTTTCATGGCAGCCTCTTGTATTCATATTTAGCATGTTAGCATTTTCTTTCACCTGCAGAATTTTTTTGTTTCTTCACTCTTCATATTCTACTTTGCCTTTTGCCTCTCCATGTCCATCTTGAGTCTTCTTAATAAAATAATCATTAGACAACATTAGCCTTGTAATTCTTGACATTGGTCTAACAAACAAATTATATTTGTCAGAAGCCATTGATCCAGTAAATGATAATAGTGTGAATTGCTACAGGATGTTGAGGTCAAACCACAATCTGAAGGCAATCTCATTGCAAATCAAATGTTTTTATTATTTTTAGTAAAGTTTCTTTCGTTATTTGTACTTTGCAACAATTTAAATTTGCTTCTTTCAAGTAGAACAAAAAAATAAAAGTTTCTTTTCTGCTTTTGTGTAAGATTGCCATTGGCTTTTTCTATTTGCATTCACACTTTTAAATATTCTTCTTTCCTCACCTGTTGCTGATAAAATGATCATTTGCTCCAGGGAATCATAGGATTAGGATCATACATTTAAAATAAAGTCTCTTATTTCAGAAATGCTGCCTGCTTACATTTCTTGTTGTAGAGCCATTTTCAAATATCCAGTGTTCAAGAAAACTGGAATCAACATTACTTTTATTTGCACAACCTTAAATAGTAATAGTTGTATTCTTCAAGGTGTTTCAGTGCATGTCAGTT